AAAATTACTTCTATAGGATGTAAAACTTCTAGAAGAAAAGAAATGTGTCACTGTCTAGGAAAGAGAAAAATAAGGGGTAAAGGTGATAGGGTAGTATTGCATCTTCTTTATATACAGTCACATGTCATGCCTCCCTCTAAACTTGATTTTTCCCCCACAGTGTTTGATCATCTGCTTTGCAGTCATCCTGATTAATCAGGTCAGGCTGAATTTCTTCATCATCACTGCCATTTTAGCAGTTGGCAACCTGTTCAGTCTAATCCAGAATTTGCAATTCATGTTACAAATGGGTGGATATAAATCAGGGATTCTGAATTTGTCAGTATGTTTGTTTCTGTGTCCCAGAACTGTTATTTTGCAAGGACAGAGTTGACATTCTTCTACTCTGAGTGTCACTTGCCTAGTCATACAGCCCATGAGCACACAAGCTGGTGTTTCCAGAGGCTGCAGGATCCACAGATTTTGGTGTTTTCTGGAGTTTGGCAATTCATAGGTGCTACTCAGTTTGCCTCATTCATTGGAACCATAGTCAGTTTTGCATGTAGCAAAAGTGAAGCTGTGATTAGACCCTTCGCAAAAGAAAATAAAACATAGTAAAAAAATAAATTTAAAAACTAGGTACAGCACAAAGACAGAAGTGGACTGTACAATGAGGATGAGACTGAGATTAAAGAAAATCTAGGTGTGGCCCAAAAACTTTGTTTCAGCTTTCCATAAGGATAATGTTGACTCTCAGGCAAAGGAAGGGATTATGTAACATTTGCATAGGCTACAAGGAAGTTCTTTCCAGGCCTCTATTCTGTGTTCAGTTTTTTAATTTTTTGGTTTGAATATCAAAATGGTTTATTAAACAAAAAAAAATGTAAGCAATTGCTGCTTTTCTCCGTGTCCTTTAAGTTTTTTTTTCAATTCCACGCATCCCATTCTCTTCCACCTTAACTGTCTTCATAGACTGGAGAAAGAGATTGTTGTCTTTCTCAACTTGGAGTGAGCTAAGCTAAATTAAGCATGCAGCCTTTTTTCCAGATGCAAACAGACTAGTTCCATCAAAGCAGCCCAATAAAATCTCTTCCAGGTGTTTATCAAGTGACTTCTACCAATTTGCTTGTCTTCACCTTCTTTAAAACTGTAACAGTAAACTTATCATTTACACACCTGGTATTTATTGTGATTGGTATTACTGATGGAAGAATATTAGATGTGCTTGTCATAGCAGTATCTTTCTCTTCAACAGTTGGGTATCTACCCTGGTATTTTGTTGCAAATGGCAGCATGAAAATGAATCGGAATAAGTGCTTAAAGATTACATTTGTTTTGGGGGTCTTTTCCACTGTCTGCAGTTTAAATTGTTGGATATCTTTTTCTGAAGTTCCTTCTAAATCTATGCTGAGTATATTCAGCATATATTCTACAGTTCTTTTTAGTCCAGGATGGACTGAAGTGACACTTTTTTTTCTTAACTGACTGTGGTGCAGGGTGCTAAAGTGATCCTTCTACTTTAAGAGCAGAAGCAGCTAGCTAGAGAGCTCTGCTAGCAAGGTAAAGCTTCATAGCTGCAGGGTACCCAGGCAGTGGGCTAATGAGCTAATGGGGAAATTACCAGCCACCTGCACATGGTCAGTTGACCAGGAGGAGGCAGGGCCCTGGGCACATACAAGTCCCAGGGCTGGGTCTGGCAGGGGTTAGTTTTCTGGCAGCTGCCAAGGGAAGAAGCTCTTGGAGGAAAGAACTGCTTACAGATGTTTGGTGGCCTAGCCTGCTGCCTGGAAGATACATAGATGAATAAGATACCTGGGGCTAGGAGGCACACAAGAATAAGAGGGAGGTTTACCTTCTTAAAGGGGCAGTGTGGCTTCCGTTACTGTTATATTGTAGCCCAGGGGCTTGTTTTTTCTATTGTCTTTTAAACCAGTGGATCAGGGGGACCCCACACCATGACAAACTGTTAATGGAGCTTTATGTATTAAACAAATCATTACCATCACCCAGGCCCTTAAATTAAATGATTTTTTGAAATTGTTGTTGCCTTGTTATGTAATAGAATTAAGTCTTGAATATTTCTGTTGTTTTAGATGTTGCTTTTTTCCTTCCTTTTCACTTATTGAAGCATTTAGGGGTAACTTACATACTTGAGCTTATTTGTTTTCAGTCTCCTTTCACTCTGGAACTAATGTTGGTTGTGTACTGTTTTAGTTTTTTCTGTTACTCCAGCTATTTTTTTTCTTTACCCATATATAGGCTTGGCAGGATTCCGTTTTCATGGATAATCATTCATAAACATCGATTTCACTGGTCACTTGCAGACCGACGGAAAAATATTTTCATTAGTAATCATGAAAATGTATAGAAAGAAGATGTTAAAAAAAAAAAAAAAAATCTGGGACATGGATAACAAAAGCTGTGACTGGGCGCTGCCCACTCATGCATGCAGCGGCAATTATTATGGCAGGAGCTAGGGGCTGTGGTGTAGGAGGGGGGTGGGATTAAAGGGACAAGAACCCCCCCCCCCCAGCTCTAGGGGCATATGTCGTTCATGGCTGAGAGTCTGGTGCTGCTGGCCGCTTGCTCTGCCCAGGTCCCAGCTAGGGATCAGGTGCCAAACTCCTGGCAATCCCAGCCCAGCCCCTGCATGACTGGGGCTTACCAGGAGTTTGGTTCCTGCCCTAATCATGCAGGAGCTCTGGGACCATAGGGAAAGGCAGCAGCCTCTCGGCACAGACCTGGAAGCAGTTCCCCACCACCTGTGGCCCTTTAGGAGCAAATCCTTATCTGGTACAGGCACCCAGTCACACTGCCTGTCCCTATGTTCCCAGAGCTTCTGCCTGGCCCAGCCTCTGTGCTCAGGGAAGGCCTCTCTGGGGCCCAGCCCCTCTGCTGCCTAGAGGGGTGGGAGTCTGGCCATCCAGGGGCCAGGCCACATCTCTGCCGGTGTCTGCCAGGTGGGGTTTGCTCCTTAAGGTGCTGTGAGCAGTAGGGAACTATTTTCTGCCTCAGGCTGAGCAGCCACTGCCTCTCCCCATGTTCCCAGAGCTCCAGAGTGCCACTTCACTTGTCTTCTGGTCCCTGCCAGCCCAGTTCTTTTCTGACGAATGAACTGAATGATTTAAAGCAGATTTGTTTTATTGATTTATGGATATTTACTTCTGTATATTTTAGTGTGTGACGTTTGTAAAGCTTTTAGCAGCATCCTGTTGTTACTAAATTGTCTGCCCCCCACAACCTAATTTCATGCAGTCCCAAAATTTCGGTTGATAAAAATCGAAAGAGATGCTTAAAAATAAGTATTGATTTATTCCCTCCCATCAAATTTATAAAAATAAATAAATAAAATTGAATTCTGCCAAGCCAACCCATGTAATACTTATGTAATTTAACTTTCTATATAGAACAGCCAAAGGACTTTTCCTGAACTAATTCCAGATTGAACTAAATAGCAAAGGGTAACTGAGCTTACAAAGGTTTCAATTCTGTCCAGTTCATAATATCAACTAAATCTTTGCTAAATCCTATTGCAATTGTGAAGTTTGTTGGACAACTTCGTACTTGAGTTGTCTTATAAAAGAACTAGATGAGGTCAAATTGCTATTGTTAAAGAAGGTAGCAACAAACTACAAAAGTTCATACTCCCCACAAATAAATCCAACTACGTGGTGGAAGTGTACTGAAAAAAAGGAGTGAAACAGCCTATATTATAGGCCTATATTATTATATTATCCTATCCTCTGCTTCATTTCATTTCTAATTTGCATGGGTTTTAATGTAATTCTTCTCTCTTGATTATTGAATTGTAGAAATTAGGGTTGGAAGGGACCTCAGGAGGTCATCTAATCCAACCCCTTGCTCAAAGCAGGACCAGCTCTAACTAGTTCATTCCAGCCATGGCTTTGTCTAGCTGGTCTTGAAAACCTCCAAGAACAGATATTCTGCCACCTGTCTAGGTAACCCATTCCAGTGCTTCACCACCCTCCTAGTAAGAAAGTTTTACTAATATCCAAATTAAACCTCCCTTGCTGCAACTTAAGATCACTGCTCCTTGTTTTCTCATCTGCAACCACTGAAAACAGTCTAGCTCCGTCCTCTTTGGAACCACCCTTCAGGTAGTTAAAGGCTGTTATCAAATCCCCCCTCAGTCTTCTCTTATCTAGACTAAATACTCTCCAGCCTATCTGCTACTCCCGTCAGCTTGATGTCATCCGGAAACTTGCTTAGGATGCAATCCGTCCTATCATCCAGATTGTTAATGAAGATATTGAACAAAACAGGCAATATTGGCACTTCTCAGTCTCTTGAAAGTTCAAATCAAGTGTAGTATCTTGGCCCTTTTTAGGAAACGTTGTGATTCGTTTCTGTAACACATGAGTGGCCAACTGGTGGTATGCATGCCACAAGTGGCATGGACAGCCATGGTGTTTGGAAAGTGGGAGACTGGGTAGGGGAAGGGGATCAGAGTGGCACTTGGAAAGAGGGAATGGCTTAACTTGCTGCACACCTGCCTAAAAGCTTGGCCATCACTAAATTAGCAGATTGTAGCTGAAATCTGCTAATTGTGGATTGAAGTGACGTAAAAATTCCTGATTTTTTTGCCATTTAAAACTATGATGTCAAAAGACATGAAAACATCACAGTTAACTCTCATTTGAGATACATGGGCACACCTTCAAACTTCAGCCCTTTTCAGTATGGTCACAAAGGGAGTTGGGCTTGGGGGGGGGAATAGTCGTGTGATTACATAGTTACTTTGTACGTGAGTGGGACAGAACATAGAATATACAGTTCAAAAGCCTTTGTTAAGGCACCTCTGTGGGCTGTACCTTTGCTCCCAGTGTGGTGAAATGTAAGTAAAGAGATTTCTCCAGAGGTCATGGTGTGGCTCCACTGCTGTGGATTCACTGAGGGGATGTAACAACAATTCTGGCCAGAACCAGACCTTTAAACTAATAACTTGCTTTTTTTAAAAAAAAACATGGTGCCAAGCTTAATTCAGGTTCTTCTTTCTGTAGGGAACATTTGCCGATCACCCATAGCTGAAGCTGTTTTTAGAAAACTTGTAACAGATGAAAATGTTGAAAATAAGGTAAACTTTTCTATTGTTGCCAAAATATACTGTCTCTTAGTCAGTCAGTGTTATGTCAGCTATGGGAAGAAAAATATAAATATTTAAATTTGTTTTTCTGTAGTGGAGGATAGACAGTGCAGCAACATCTACCTATGAAATAGGAAACCCTCCTGACTATCGAGGACAGGCTTGTATGAAGAAGCATGGCATTAACATGAATCATATTGCCAGGCAGGTACTGTACTCTTACTTTCTTTTAAATGTGTTGTATGCATGTGTTTTGTTGCAGTGGATGACAGACAGTGCTGCTGTTTCTGACTGGAACGTGGGGTGCTGCCCAGATGCAAGGGCTTTAAGCTGTCTGAGAAATCATGGCATTGAGACAGCCCATAAAGCACAGCAGGTAGAAAAGAGTACATTTTATTACTTGACAGAATAAATTCTCTGTTCAGCAATAATTGTAGTAACTACAACAGACATTTGCCTGGTGTACAGTTAGTGTAAAATTGTGTAGTAAATACTGAATGTGATTGTGTAAAAAGAACAGCCATTGCCTAACTCTTCTAGCTGAAGTAAATGAGTTTCACTGTCATCATCAGTGGTTCTTGAATTAGACCATTAGTTCAACGCGTGCTTTTGAATATCTTTCAGATGTTCAGTATTTAGAGTATTAATACATATCTTATCGATCTGTTGGAGAAGTTGGCTCATATTCTTCTAGAACTGATCCCCTTGGGTCAAAATTATTTCTGTGTGTATTTATACTACTCAAGTATGTCACTTAGAAGTCCCGTGATGAGAGACCCTGCATATAGAGTGGGGACAGTACCTCCCAAACCATAAGTACATAGCTTACTTGGTGCACCTTGGAGCATGTCAGGCAGCAGTCTTGGAGCTTGTTGCCATATGCTCATTTCTTCCAAGCTAGCTATGTCAGTTCTAGTTTCGAAGGTAATGGATATGTTTTATCCCACTGAATTGGTGTAAACATGCCATAAGAGTTTGGAGAACTCCAGATCCTCACTAAATAGCTCAGATTCTAGAGTGAAACTACTGTTGGTTATATATCCCAATAAAGAAGTTCAAGTAAAAATTCCTCAATTCCGTGTTTGGAACAATGATTCACTGAAAATTTGCGCAGTCCCTTTCAACTAAGTGGAAACCTTGTGTGAGTTTTGGAAAAACTCACTTCACTTTTCTTTTGACAAAATCAACTAAGCTTCAAGTTGTTTGTTTCAATGACAATCTCTCTGGAATATAGCATGACTGCATCTAATTTAAATGATTCAGATAGATAAATGCACATAACGCTCTTTGTTTAATTATTCTCTGCATAATATATTCCTTTAGGCTCTGACCTTCCTTAGTTTGAGTTCATGCCACTACTCTTGCATTTTACACAAGATTAAATATTGTTTTTCTTTTTCCCTTCAGAATCTTACATGACCTTACTGAGATCATTCTTTTCTTTTTTTCTTTGGCAGAACCTACGCACTTAGTTCTTCTAACCTTTCTGGCCAAATTCCCTCAATCACACTTGTTGCCCTCACTGACCTTTTCTGTCTCTAATCTCCTTTACATAATAATGCAAACAGAATTGAGCACAGTGCTGTATTCCAAACTGACTGGTTTGATACTAAAACTGTCTAGCTTGTGATCTGTTTCTGTTGATACCAGTTATTTTCTTAGTATGTGCAAATGCAGTGTTTTTATTTTAACATTATCCTAAGTCAGAGGCTCTCACAATCATTGGCTTCTGTCACATTGTTTAATCATTGGTGTCAAGTAGGAAGCCTAGGAAATCTACTCTAGAGCTCTTGTTAAGCATATTAAAAAGGGGAGTGGAGAGTCACAAACTTCTACCCCTTTGTGTTGTGTGGCTGCTTCTTATCTTGGGCAAATTTTATCTTCAGAAATTCAGCCATAATCACATTTGTCAATGAATCTAGACAAATAAAATTGTGAAGTGGACAGGAAAGGCTACAACAAAGAGTTGAAGGCAACTTGGAAATTTGATGAAACAGTTTTTCATGTTGCTAAAGAAAATCATGTGCATATGCATTGATATGAAGTATTTGTTGGAAATGCCCCTGCCATGTAGTAGGTGGCAGTTTCACTGAGAGAGTATTAGGGGCTGATGGTTTGTGCCTGATCAATAAAAAATAAGATCAAAGTTACAGTAGTGTTTGGGGAGCAGCCAAACTGATGGAAGGAGTTTGATAGGAACATTGTTGAATCAGTGTGTACTTTCAAATTCAAGGAAGGTATAACTGAACAACATTATGTTAAGGAGAATTTTTGTTTCTTTATCTCCTTAATGGTGGCCTGCTTTGTGTAACTAACCCTTTCCACCATTGCAGAAAACCTGTAGTGCTTAGGTGAGTACCTTCCAGCTCGTTGCACAAGACATCTTCACAATTGCACAAAATCTTTCTGTCTGCATGTTCATAAGTTATTCACAAAACCTGTGAATTACTATATGTAGCGAGTAAGCTAGCTGCCTTTTCATGCTTGTGTAGGGAAAGCAAAACTATAAATGAAGATAATTGCTGATGTAAGACTTGAAGAGTTTTTTTTTTTCAGATTATAAACTGTTACATATGTTTCAGTTCCTTTAATTCTTATCACACTCATAAGTGGGCAGATGTTCATCAGTTTCATATTATAACATACTGAGGCTAAAAAAACATTTGTACACAACTCACTTGTTTCCATGTGCCGTTATCATGGACATGAGATTAGGAGAGTGATTATCTTTAGGGGTGCACTGGTAAGGATTTTTTGGGTCAATACCAATGGCCGATTTTATTAATGAGCCATCCTGGCCGATACCAATCCAATTGCCAATATGTAGCGTGGCAGTTTGGAGAGCAGCATCCAATTGGTAGGCGTATTGTGGGGAAGTGAGGAGCAAAAGAGGGTGGGGTGCAAATCAAGGCCTCTGTGGTGAGGAAGAGACTGGAGTAGGGGCAGTCGCTGCCCAGCCAGGGTGGGGTGTCAGACAAGGCCGCAAGTGACTTGTCTGGCGGGTGGCTCACACCCCTGCACGCACTCCCAGGGAAGGCATGGTGAGGCATATGTCCCCTGGATCTGTGTGCAGGGTGAGGGCAGGCTGCCCTTTGTGTGCTTAGGGCTGGCACTGGGCTGTTCCCAACATGGGGGGGGGGGTCTAGGCTGGGGCTGTGCTTGGAGCAGGTGGCAGGGGCAGCCCGGGGGGAGGGGGTATGGGGGGCCCCAAGCCCCCC